TTTTAACTCAGGTTAGCCATTTGAATTCAACTCGGGGATCGTTTGTATGTTTGTTGCTGACTTAATCTCTCTTAAATTTCCTTGTTCTCTCTGTTATTTTGAGTCAAGGTAGCTAATTCAGGTTAGCAGTTCTGACTTAAGAACATTTTTAATCTGTGGACATAGAGAAATTGGTTAAACTCAGTAAGCGTTTTACATGTAACTAACCTTGTCTAATGGTGCAACTGGTCAACTGGAAAGTCTGATGTAGACACGTCCGCTGTGGGCTTAGTCTGTGGAGGCTGATGCCAGTGCTGTGACAGATTTGCAACAACAGATCAGAGTTGGATGGATGGAGCTGTTATCCTTTCCCCTTCTCATTTGCCCTGTCCTGTTAAATGATGCTGCTATCTCCATGGCAGGGCCGCTGGTCCACAGGGAATGAAGTCCTGAACTGGCATGGATTTCAGTCCAGGATAGCAAAGCAAACTGAACTCTCAGGAGCAGCAATCACTAGGGTTATCCTTTATAAATTTGCCACCACAAGTCTGTCAGGCCCCAAAGTAACAAGGTGTACTATCCCACTGGAAAAAATATAAAACTATACTGTCAAATATTTCCTTAAAGAGGGAAAAAGGCTACCATTTGCTGTCAATAGAGTTTTTGATATATGGATTAGCATAGCTCTGCTGTTATCTAGCCTGAGGACTAAATGTGTTCTTGTACAAACACTACGTGGGATACGCAGGACCCTGTCATTTCCTTTTCTGTAAAAAGCAAGGAAAAATGAGAAGTACCAAGCAACCTGCAAAACGCTTTTCTGTCAGCATGTTGTCTTAGCTTGTGCAGATCCTTGGAGTGCTTTGTGTTCAGAGTTAAATGTGACCTGAGTTGTTGAAATGAGGGCTAGGAAAACAAGCATGACTCTGTTTTCTGGCTTCCTTGCATATGACAGCTTGAACATTATTCCACAATAAGGCCAGGCCTGACTTGTCAGTATGGTGGCAAACAGTGGGAAGGAGAGACATGATGTTCAATATTTACAAATTATCACCCAGGCCGTAATTAGGGAGAATTAAACTTGTAGGAAAAAGATTGCCATTGGGAAGCCATTAATGGTACACAAACACTCAAGACCAAGCCTGGTGGGAAGCATCGGCCATAGCACTTGAGGTTGCCAAGCACACTAATATTATATCATTACTAGCCACTTGCAACGGTTGACCAAAATCCATTTTCTCATCAGTTATACAAGCTACTGTCTGCTGAGGGGTGGAAAAATGAGCACATCATGACACAGGCGTTGAAAATATCTCTTACAAAAGGAATAATCCATCCACAGCTATTGCTTGCTGATAGTTATTGCAGGCCAAAGCTTACAAGTCTTCTGTAGACACATGAAAGACACACTGACACACAAGTCACCACAAGGTCACAAAAGAATGAACAGCATCCGTCATTCAAACCAAGCAGAGAAACAAAGGGATTACTTGTTTTCCTTCTGCAAGTGATAGACAGCAGCTAGTTCTTTGACCTGTACTCAAAAAGTGTATCTGTAGCCTAAGTATTTTGGTTCTAATTCAGCAAAACTCTTTAAGTGCTTAAATTCAACTGAAATTACAGTTGAGTATGTGCTAAGGAGAACTGGGACTATTGGACCTTTGAAGAGAGGTGGGATTGAATTTTTAATTCTCCAAAGTTTCCCTGCTTCTTCAGGAAGTGTGGTTGCAATGACCTGGTCTGGAGGTTACGAAAAAGCAGCTCTGTGCTGGAGGTTGCAGCAGTGGAATAGAGAGAGACCCTGGGTCAAATGCAGATAAAAAGAGACACTGAACGTCACGGGAGTCTCACTGAGGAACAGCAGAGTTCATATGATGTGAGGACTGTGAAAAACCAAATGCCTAAAAAAAGGAGTTGCACATTGTACTCTTCACAGAACTCCTATGTCCTCCCTAAGCTATAAATGTCTCGCAGCAAAGCACATGCCTTCTGATTTCAGGCATCTTGAGAAAAGTCACAGTGTGCTGGAGACATGCATTGTGAGAAACCATCTTCCCTACAGATGCCCATAAATCTGAGCCTGAGCTTCCCATAGGTGGGAATTAGCAGATTTCTTTCTGGGAGGATGCTTGAAACACCTAAAAAACGTACAAAGGAAGACACGATGATGGAGCTCAAATACGAGTGCAAAGATGACTTGGTTTTCATTTATTGCTCATATTTTCCTTCCTGTGGTGGTGAAATACAGTACCTATTATTCCTGGCATCCTTTGCATTACACTGGATCCCGCCCTTGCTCTTGCTGTTAAGCTCTTCAGTTCTGATCTCATTTGCTAAAGGAGTCTAAGGAGGAATTTTGTCTCCAGAGCGCAGTTTCAAACCCGCGATGTTTCACCAATCGTAGGCAGAGTAGTCTATCTGAGGATACTGGCCTCACAAGGCAAGATGGTGTTTTA